CAAGTGGAAAAGAGTTTTCATTTGACAGAACTAAGGAATTCCTGGGAAAAGTCCTATAAAAATACTTTTCCTAAGTGATTTGTATAATGCTTATACCCAATTATTCTTAGTTGGTCTAATCCAGTGGTCTCCAACCTTTTTACACCCAAGATCACTTTTTGAATTTAAGGGCAATCCAGGATCTACCTGCCCCTTCCCTAAAGCCCCACTCCTTCCCTGAAACCCCGCTCATTCCACCACCCCCCTCCTTTGCTCGCCCTCCCCCGTCCTCACTCACTTTCACCTGGCTGGGGCAGAGGAGTTGGGGTTCAGGAAGGAGTGTGGGCTTTGGGCTGGGGCCGAGAGGTTCACAGTGTGGGAAGCGGCTCTGACTGAGCCTGGGGCAGAAGGTTGGGGTGCAGGAGAGGGGTTGGGGTGCAGGCTCTGGGAAGCAGTTTGGGTGCAGGAGGGGGATCCGAGCTGGGGCAGAGTTTTGGGATGCATGAGAAGTGTGGCTCTGGGAGGGGGGAGGTCAGGGCTGGGGCAAGGGGATTGGGGTGCTGGTTCCGCAAGGGGGCTCAGGGCTAGGATTTGGCTTCCCGCCAGGCAGCACTTACCTCAGGTGGCTCCTGGGCAGCAGTGCAGCGAGGCTAAGGAAAGCTCCCTGCCTGCCCCAGCCCCATGCCGCTCCCGAAAGGGGCCAGTGCACCCCCTACTAAAGTCACAAATCTTTGTATTGATCGTTTCCATGGGAGTTCAGTAACTGAGGACAAACTCAGATCACCAGTGCAGCTCTTGGAAACAATGCTAAGATGCAAGGAAGGAAGGAAAAACTTACTTTTGAGAAAGGAACAAACCTTCCCTATAAAAAACAAACAATCTAGCCATGACCACGCTGGTAGCACAAATGGGAGAGAGCATTAAGGAGCAAGACAACCATGGAGTCTGAAGATGTTCACTGTAGCCAACTGAAGCATCTATAAAATATTTCCAGTATTGTCAAAACTCCAAGTCTGCAGGAATGGATTTCCATGAGAAAAAGTTCTTAATTGGGGGAGGAAGGAAGTGATTTTTCCCTTTCTTCACACTTTTCTAATTCAGCACTGTCACACCCCCCTGCTTCATCCAAAGTGACCCTTTTCCAGGTCAATCTGTGAGGAGTAGAGAAGCGTATAGCCTCCTGCAGAGTCAAACTTTACACATCATTTTAAACTCTGCATCCTTCAATGAGATGTAAATGCTGGGTAACTATTTTTGCGTGCACGGCTGTACATCAGGCGTTCAAGACACTTGCTGTCTTACAAACATGCCCCTTTATCTCAGGCATCAGCTCCAAAAGAGACTTGCCATTTTCAGATGTTAGACAACAGCAAGGTCATCTTAAGGCAGTGGTCCCCAATGTGATGCACACGGGTGCCATGGCGCCCGCAGGGGCATTTATGTGCACCCGCCTAGTGCCCAGCAGGGGAGAGAAGCCGCAGCCCCGCGTCTGATGGGAACAAAGAACTCAGGCTGCAGGCGCGGTGTTCTCTATTCCAGGCAGGCGCAGGGCCCACCTAGTGCCCAGCAAGGGAGAGAAGCCAGGGCCCTGCGCCTGCCGGGGACAGAGAACTCCGGGGCTGCAGGCGCTGGTGTTCTCTGTCCTCGCGACTTCTCTGGATTCATATATTATGTAACATTAAATATGATGTTTTTCGTATTATTTAATGTACAAATACAAAATAAGCCTTGAAAAATTGTTGGCGCCCACCACACACTTCTGAAAACATGAATGTGCTACTGGCCACAAAAAGGTTGGGGACCACTGTATTAAGGCATCAAAGGATTTTTGGACTAATCCTGCAAACTATTTTTAATTCCCCTCAAACTCTGAAAAATCCTAGCTAGAATGAGACCAGGTTTCTCCTGGAATTCTGGGGGAAATGAACCCAATTTATTCCATGTACCCATCTTTTAAGACTGCAAAATTGCTTAAGCTAACCAAATATAGTCTATGCTATATGAGTATATGAAGGATTTTTACTCACACCTTTTATCCTTGGACAAGCGTTAACACTGTCCCTCTGTTCATCACTGGATTCTCTATACCCTGAGTGATAAGAGCTAGATCATCACTAATACTTGAACAGCCTCCTAAATACTAAAGCATTTAAGCTACGCATGGACTCACTTCCCAGTTTTGGATACATTTTATAGTCTATGTCCCAAGGTCACTGTATCATCTACATTTCTTTCATGCAAATACTCCACGTGTGAACCTTTTCAACTAGGAGTCATTTCTAGTATGGCTAGTGCTAATCTTGTCTTAGAGTCTTGTTGTTCCCTGTTTGCTGAGACTAACATTTGATGAAACCAGTAGAAAGAGCACTGCCTGCCACATGTAACACTTCACCTTTCCCAGAGAGGCATTTTAGGCCAGAAATGAAGGGTCAGCTGTTGAAAGGCAAAGGTTGTGTGGTAAGCAGCACATCACCCAGACTAATGAAGCCAATCTATAGCTTAGCTTAAGTGAAGCTGCTGCTAAGAGATACAGTTCTCCAAACAGGTACTTCGTATGCTGACCAAGGTTTTTCCAATTGTGGTGAAATAAGACAGATCAGCTAATGAACCTCTCAAAACTAAACAAATCAGATAGACTCCCAAATTGGTTAAAATGCAGTGTTATAGGTTAAATAGTAGCAGTCAAAATCACTCAAACTAGAGGGAGTAGCTATTGAAGAACAATAAGGAAGGAAGTGCTGGACCGTATGTCCCCGTCACAATTGTTGGAGTTGGAGCTGCACCACCTGTTTCCCCACGCAAGATTACCAGGGCAAACTAAAATTCAGTATAGTTGACAGTGGGTCCACCACATCATGCCTAATTATTTGTAAAAGTTTCAGCCTCCAGCACCAGCTATGCCACATGGATTATATACACTATAGTTAAATTTTCTACAAAATGTCTGCATCCAGATAACATGCAACAGAGAGAGAAGAGGTAAATTAAGAATGACAACACAACCAGAGGACTGAAGTATAGGTCCTGCAGCAACCAAGTTTATGGTTTGATGCTCCACACTACTGTCTGGATAACAACTGATTCCATAGTAAATAGACCTCCAGCATTTTTAATGGTAAATATGCACATTACTGTCATGAATAAGTGACAATGAGTCACAAGACATTTGAGCGTTACAAAGACGATTCCATTTTGAACAACCTCATCACGCCTATTGAAAGAGGAGGCCATTTCCCCAGAACACTTGTATCAGTGTTATTTAACTGCAACCCACTGTACCTGCTGCTCACGCAGCATGCAGTAGCCGCCTCCTAAGAACTGACTGGTGCAAATATAAGTCACACCAATTAGTCAGATTCCATTATCTAGTTCATTTTTAAAGCCACAAACAGGCTTGGACGTGTTCCTTCAAGGACTAACTTGCCACTCCCCAGAATGTTTACTATGCTTAGCAAGCGTTTTCCAGCTGATGGAGCCCAGGTCTCTACTTGGGTCATGAAAATCCCACAACAGGGAAAACTTTCACAGGTCAGGCTGAGGTTGAATCTCCCCAACTCCTGATTATGCTGAAAGAGCTGCACGTTTGAACCAGCATTTCTCCAAACCATCATGTTTTAAATACAATCGTAGAAGAAATTAACCATTAGTCTGTACCACCATATCAGCTTAAAAGGTAAGCCTTAAAAGACTACCACGTCTTACTGCTTTACATCATTAAGATGTAGCCTTTCCTCTCCAATCCGTCAGCTAAATCTCCCCATCCAGATCCACATCTTGCATCTAAATTATTGCAACCACCTCCTTTCCAGCCTAGGTCAATGCAAACTTGGCCCACTTATACCCACAGAAAAAGTCAATGCAAAGGTAGTTTTCCTGGTTTGTTGCTTTTCCTACATCACATATACCTCTTTGCTCCTGTCCACTGGCTCTCCCTGCTGAAACAAGCTACCCATCTTTACTTAAGGCCCTTATGACCTATTCCCATACTACCTGTCATTCCGTACACTATTGAGGTATAGACCCCCACCTCTGCTCTTCCATCAACGCCAACCTTCACTACTTATTTTTTATATTTAAAAAAAAAAATACTGTTGCACTTTCTCCCATGTCACCTCAATGCCAGGGAGGAACTTCCTGTAAACATCTGCAAAGCCACTGCATTGTCCCTCCTTAAATCTCTCCTCTACCATGATGCCTACAAAAAACACCATCTGACTCCCACCCTCCCAGACAGTGCTAGACAGCTGGTGTGCTGTGACCGCTACTTGTCACAGTGACCTGTTTTGTTGTTACCTTGTGTTCTCCCTGTAAGCTATATACACCGGTTGTCTCATTTTATACTCAGATTGAAAGCTCTTCAGGGCAGGCATCATCTTTTTTGTTCAGTATTAGCACAATGGGCTCTGATTCATGATTGGAAACCCAAAGCATAATCACAATACAAATAGCCAATACTACTTTACTTTTTAGAAGTAAAATCGCTCTAATAAAAATGCTTGCATCTACTGAGTGGAACCATGACAACAGAGAGCATCTAGTAACTTCAGACAGCACATCTCCTTAGAAACAGGAAGTGAGGCAAACATGCCATAATAGAAAAACTATTAACTGAATTCAAAATTAGAAAACCCAGATTGGGGCTTAACTGGTAATTTATAATTATTTTGTATGTTTTGTCAAGGGAAGTTAGAGCAACACTAAGAGTATCTATAATAAATAGTATAGTGAAAGTACATAAATTACCATAAAACTAATATCTTCCATTGGCAGAGCAGCTTGCTGAAAGCTATTACTCACTTCTAATTAAAACATCCTTAGCTGCCATACATAAGACATTTATTGTAATAATCTTAACTTTCCATTACATTTAGCTTTCTCCCTTCTGCTGACATTTCATCCTACTATGGCCTCATTGTACTTTTTGACCACATATATTAATGTGTTTTTCCCCACTTCAATTTTTGTATTTTAATCTCTGTGTGAATTAGGGACTATATAATCATTAAAAAATGAGTTCTTACTCTTCATGGTCCCCTCTTCTTCCTCTTCTTCCGTATTTATTACCATTGTACCCAGCTGGGATTCCAGCGTTCCATCATGTTCTATCATGGTATTGGCTCCATCACTCATTGTACTGGCAGCTCTTATAGTACCAGTCTCATCTCCACTTGTCCGGACCATGGTACCTGAATCTGTTTCATCTTCTTCCTGTAGGAGGATGCAAGACATGCATTTACTGATCAAAGTAATCTTATTAAAAGAGTGGCAACATTCAAAGGGAATTGGTACCAACTTCCAATATTTCTTTGGTATCAGAGTCTTACAAAAATTTTGTAAAGTCAGCAAGATGTAACAAATTATGCCTTTTCTTCTCTCCTTCCTATTCCCAAATGGGTAATGAAAGATCTTCTCCATTCCTTTTCCTCTAGCTTTATCTATTGTTAGAAATATGCTGGGACTGAAGTCTTCCACTTAACTACAGAAGAGAGATATTAGCAATACAAGCATCCCAACACAGCCAACTGGCATCTGAGCCCTGACCCAGTGGCCTATCACTAGGAGTAATTAAGCTGCAATACTCATTCAGCCCTTACTATTTCTAAGGGCAGGTCTACACTATGGGGTTAAGTCGACCTAAGTTACGCAACTCCAGCTACATGAACTTAGGTCGACTTATTGTGGTGTCTATACCATGTTGGGTCGATGGGAGAAACTCTCCCATCGACTTACCTTACACTTCTCATTCCGGTGGAGTACCGGAGTCGATGGGGGAGCGATCGGTGGTCAAGTTAGCAGGTCTTCACTAGACCCGCTAAATCGACCCCCGGTGGATTGATTGCCACAGCGTCGATCCACAGTAAGTGGAGACAAGCCCTAAGATTGCCAGATATGATAGTTGAACTAAAACCCCATTCTGAAATGATCTAGAGATCACTGAACAGTTATTAGATGGCAGCAGTATTCGGTCTATAGTGTGTATGTGCATGCTGAAGCTCAAAAGAGAGAATGCCAGAGAATATTTTTTTCCATTTGTTACCACACATTAACATTGTGACAGATATTGCAATCCCATGCAGTATCTTTGGGAGAACATACTGTATGATTGGTCATGTATCATTGTGGGCCAGGGACTGTACACAACTCCAGAGGGAGGGTTGCACAGCTTCATCAGGAACTAAAAATAGTGGGGGGTGATTAAGGTGAATCACTCAGATTGTAAACACTAAAGAGATACCAACCCTGGGGAGGCTTGCACATACTAGTTCAAAAGTGGGCACTCCAGAGGCCAACAGACAAAGAAAGAGCTTTTGGTATAAAAACACTGCATTTAAACTGACTCTTGGCCTTCTCTCTTATCCAGCAAATGGACAGGACCTTCTGAGCAAGGGGGATCCCAAACCTTGTAGAAAGTCTGCAAAGACATGGGGCCCTGCTAAAACAGAAAGACTGATGGGTGACCTCTGGTAAGCTTTGAGCACGTGTATAAACTTCTGTTTTCTCTGTAATGCCTTTACCTTAAGAATAAAGGTGGTTGCTTAGAAAGAGCTGTGTGGTAACTTGCAACTGCTGGCAATATGCTGTTCACAGCCCTCGGAGAGAAAGCAACACTCAGGCACTGGCCTTTAGGCAGGCTGGCTTGCTGGGTATATCACAATATAAGGCCGGGAGCTGTACAGCTTTAAAGCCACTGGTCAGAAGGGAGCACGACAAGGACAAATTGCTTCAATTTTTCCAATAGCAAGGAGGCAGAAGTGGGCATGTAGAGTCTTGTGCTCAGTGTGGCTCGTAGCACATGTTCCAAGCTGTTGTGGTGCCAACTACTGTTCCTTGCATAAAACTGGTCACCAAATCCAGTCCCATCCCTAAACTACTGCTCCAACACAATGCCTGCCAAGTGCTATGAGCTGCACTAAGCAAGAGACAAGTGCATGCAGATGCCCGCGTCTACCTCCCTGCTGTTAGAAAAAATTGCAGCAGTTTGGTGGGGAAGCTGGAGGGGAGGACTCAGCAGCCATGCATATTCTGTGGGGAAAAAAATAAATCAATACTTGACACTGCCATGAATTACATAAAAAAAATTCATCCATTGAGGTTCACAGGTCATTTGTTATAAGTGGTAAGCCCCCAGTTGCTTTGTATATGTGATTGTGGTCTTTGTGATCTGAGCTAGTGTCACAGGGCTAATGTGCATACTTCTCACAGAGCTACAATACAAGGTCTCACCACTGTCAATATGTGGTAGCGCACCCTGCCCTCCTCTAGTGCCTCCATGTCTGAGGCCTCTGTCCCACTAAGGGTGCCGGTAGTTCACAGCCAAACCCCCTGAACACCAAACCAAGAAGACTGGGGAAAGGATGAACTACAAAAGTTAATGTGGGGGAGGGGGTGTGTGAAGTTTTACTGCAGGTGGGCAATAAACTCCCCCTCCAGCACTGTGAGAAGCTGCAGCAGAAAACCTACAGCGCCATGGAAGCTCTTGGTAACTCTTTCCCTCTAGCAGCAGTAATGTGGCAGGGCAGAGAGGCCACAGGAAAACATTTACACTAGAGGAATCTCTCCACCTCCAACTATCTGGCACCAGCTGTCAGTGATGCGATCACAATTCAGGCATACAAGCAGCTGCACATACCTTAGAGTCAATATCATGGTGACACGGTGCGTAAAGATTACTTCCATCCCAAAGCACAATGCAGCCCTAACGTCACAGTGAGGAAACACTGCATTTAACATGCCTATATTTCACTGCAAATCATGCTATTCAAATCTAGCTTCAGAAGAGGCTTGCCGTCTGTTGTCCATTTTATTCAGTCAGGTTGAAACTGACGGAGCATGCTTCAAGTTGGCTTTTGACATGCTTTTGAAAAAAACACCACTCACACAACACCACTTATTCAAAAGTCAAAAACGTAGCATATGAACAAGCAATTACTTGGTCTGCAACTCTGGAATCTCACTCCCTCAACTGAAAAAAAAGCACAGAACTCAAGCTCACAGCACTACACCATCAAAGAAGTCTAAGCACACATCCCCTCACCTTAAATTTGTGTCTGTTTCTATTGTACAGTATGAAGTTTCTATAAAGGGGTTTCTAAATCAGGAAAATGGTATGAAGAAAACAACATACTTATGTTATATGGCAAAATAGAAAACACCGAAGACTACAAACAAAAGGCCTCTCTACTACAGGAAAAACTTGATCCAGCTAGGAAAATGTATTTGAAGTGTTCTACAAATTTATTACATATCTTTAAAGTATTTTGCTGGGCTATTAATTGTCCTGTAGTAGGTGTTGTGTCTATGTTCTGCTGACTCACTAAGGCATGTAGCTCACTACAGTTGAATATAAAGGAGGTGGGAGCGGGCTAAGAGAGAGCAGCTACAGGACATGAGTTGAGCAGTCCTAAGCTAGAAACCCCAGGAACAAAATCAACGCTGGGATCAGAGACTGAGCTGAACATTATGGAGTATTATTGTTAATTTCTGTATTAAAGCAGCCAGTGGGGTCCTAATCCAAGACTAGGGCTCCTAGGTATTACAATAATACAAACAACGACAATAATCAGGAGGGAGGAATTTTAGACTCTACCAAATATGTGGACTACTTTAGAGCAGTTTGAGAAAGGCACCTATTCGCACATATATCAGCATCAATATTTTAAAGTTATTGTGTCCATTAAACACTCACTGAATTTTCCTCATCATCTTGATCCAATTCACGCTGTTGTGCTTCCTGACGTTTCAGCTTCACATCCATTGCTTCATTAATCAAGTCCCGCAGGATTGACGCTCCTTTGGCACTTTTAACAAATGGATGCTAAAAAAGTAGATATATTTTATAAGCAGCAGATATGAAGACAAAGCAGTAAAATGCTGTTACCCAGAGTTATGCCTATCCCTGCTGAATTACAGTTGGGGTACACAACCAAGTAAAAACTTTATTATAAACTTTTATTTCATAATTTACCTTTTTAGTGATGGAGAATGAGAGATCCGTATTGAGTCATACTACAGGGGCATTTCTGCATGACCCTGCATTCATACTTTATTTCTGAACTGTCATATCTAGAAATGAAGTAATTCATAACACTTAAGATAACACTATGGTTATCACTTTCCAGTAAGAGGCCATCAGTCTGCCTTCGTTATTTGCCACCTGCTTCTGACATTCTAAGGATTAACTCAAAAGTCAGAGATAATCCCTTGACAATGCTTCAGAACCCAAGATGCACCTCTGTCAAAGAAAGGAAGAGGTACTTTAGAAGAAAGAACTGAGGCTTCTCTAACATGGTGCAGAGGGCAGGTAACCTCCATCAGCTCAAAGACAGCAAAGGGAAGGTTAGTTATTAAAATCCAGAGCGTGCTTTAGAAATTGACTAGCTTTGCTTGTATCTCTGTAAGTAGTAGCCTCTGAGGTCACCGAACAACTAGAGGCAAATTGGGATAGCTAGGAAATGGAGGACTTTGACATTAACATAATCAGATGTGGCTCTTTTCTAAGCATAGGGTCAGTTAAGGGATAAACTGTATGGCTTAATAGTTAAGTGCCAGGATTTCTCTCTCAAAATCTTGAAACACTGACAAAAGCCTGGGGGCACAAAGATTATGGGTGTATGAGTATGGGAACAGAAAGCAGGAGATGTTCTAATTTCTAGGGAAAAAACTAAAGGTTTAAAAACCTCACACAACTTGATCTTACACTGTAGAAGTTGTATAGGGGAAGCATGAAGGGAAACCAACATCTCAAATTGCACAAATACTCATTGCCTGCACCGCAGTTTGTTTAGTTAAGAACTCCCTCTGATACCCTCTGAGAGCACCCCGGGTAACAAATACCAGACCTGGAGAAGCTGTGTGGCAGTGGCTCTTTGTTCAGGACTTTTCACAAGACACTGTTTTACAAAGTCTGTAAAGCTGTCTGACCAGACTTCCGGCTTCCGGAATGTTGGAGGAGGATTTGTAGGAATCATGAAAATTGCCTGATAATAAAAATAAAATAAGTATTGTTCTAGTGTTCATTGATTTTGGAAATCTTTAAGATAAAAACACAGAACAGACAAACATTTGATCAAAGCATAGGGACAGACACTTGCAAAGTTATTGTACCAAAACCCTCTGTGGCTTCTCAAGTCTTTATGCCAATGCTATGTATATTCCCCTCCAAAGAGGGCAAGAGATTTGTACACCGCACCGGCGTTTCCTCCTATGGCAAAGCCACTATCTTGCGTAGAGGGTGACATTTGCCATTTTAAACCCTTAAAAGTCCTTTACTAAAAAGGAAAGAGAAAAACAGGTGCATAATACAGGATACCCACTGTATGGACACATTCCACCACTCAAGAGGTGGAACTCCCAAAACAGCTTTGCCTCTGAAAAATCCCTTACCTAAAATACCACAGTGGAAAGCAATGGAGTAACAAAATGGTGGGAATTACCAATGATCTCTGAGAACCTGGTTCCTTCAGAACATCTCCTTACAGGAACTGACCTCGAACAAAAACACTGGTGTACTCTAAATCTAGTAAAAATTAGGATGGCAAAGACTGGAAACAATATGACCAAGTGAAAGCAGAGGAATGGACCCCCCCCCACACACACACACAGGTGAATGCGGAGACCCTAAGCAAAGACTGGAGCACCGACTGACACAGCACCCTCTAGCAACGTGCTGTACTCCCGAGAAACTATTTGAGATAAGTGATAACACCAGATCTTGGCTGAGACTTTTGGACCAATAGGCTATGATGATGACCATGAAAAATAGTGTTTACTAGTGGCTGTAACAAAAAGATTCACTTTGGATCAAACTCAAGACTACCCATTTCCACGCATGCATATTTTGAACAAACCTGGTCATTTCACATGCCTTGACACAAAGAATCAAGTTGGCAGATTTTCCTTTGAAGATTTTTTTTTCATTTTACTAAATATTAAAAAGCACAGGTTAAAGAAAAGCTTGCTCATTTTCTCTAGGTTAAAAAGCTAGATAGCTGAATAAACATTTTACAAGATGCTAACTGCCAACAGAGGCTACCTGCATTCTGCAAGAGAGATATATTTGAAGAAGCCTCAGTCCTTACCCTCATTGGATGAATATCTGCATATGGTGGTTTTCCTTCAGCCATTTCTATTGAAGTGATTCCCAGTGACCAGATATCTGCTACACAGTTATACCCTATTTCTTGGATCACTTCTGGAGCCATCCAAAATGGGGTTCCTATAACTGTGTTCCGTTTTGCCATGGTATCCTAAAATGGAAGGGGGAAGGTGGGGGGGGGCAGAAGAACAGACTATTTGGCAAGCAGAAGAAACAAGTTTGCCAGCTATTCATTAATAAATAACACTGTCCCTAAAGTTTATACATAAAAGTTACTCAGTAAGACTGAAATAAGGAATTTTGCACATTAGGATTGAGATGCATTGGCAGAACCATGTGGGGACTCAGTAGAAAACAGTAGGTGTTACTGCAGTATATGCTTCTACACACAACTGTTTTAGTGCTTTAGTTCTGTGAACAAGAAAGCCAGAGTGTCAGCCTGCCTGTCCCTCCTCTGGGCCCCATTGTAGTGCATGTGCACTGCATTCATGTAAGTGCCAAACAATTGAATTTAGCATACTCTCTCCAGTAAGTGTTTCACTTGTACCTGCAGGCTGAATGAGAAATTTGTACATACACAACCCAAGTAACAATTTTACTCACTGTAAGTTGGCCTGCTACCCCAAAATCTGCAAGTTTAGCATGTCCTTCTGTATTTAGTAATATATTTCCAGCTTTGATATCTCTGTGTATTTTCCTCATAAAATGCAGATATTCTAGTCCTTTGAGGGTTGCTTGTACTATTGTAGCTATTTCCTCTTCTGTCAACTAAAGAAAAAAAAAAGCAGTTAGATTGGTATCTCATGCCGAAGACCAACATTTCCTTGAAATACAAATACAAGATTCCCATACCAACTAGCAGAAAATTCTATGTAGTTTCAGTTACCAAGACACAGTATTATCTATACACAGTACAGCTGGTTTACTTTGTCTCCCTTCATGTATTGTGTGTACATGGTCCTTTCACAGGTAACTTGCTATTACACCACCACTGTAACTAGACAAGGTCAGCTATAAAAAGCCCAGCACTGAAAATCAGGATTCTATTTTTTCAGACATACAGATCATTTTAATCAGAAAACTTACTCAAACTGCAATTACATTATCTTGAATGATCAAGTTAGCTACCTAGTTAAACATTGTGGTTTCCAGGAGTTCTGGGTGCTTGCAGCTCACAGGACAGCTAATGAGAGCTCTGGATGCTCTGAAAAAATCAGGCCAAAGAACTATGCAGAGACTACTACAAAGCTACTTAATGTAATATAAAATATGTAATATTTAGACTGGATACTTAAAGCTTGACATTGTATAAATATGGATTGTAAGGGGAAAGGACTTACTGTTTTATTTCGTAATCGAATTATATCAGACACAGATCCAGCTCCACAGTACTCCATGACTATCCACAGGTCCGTGTTCTTAAAATAGCTGCCATAATACTTGACTACATGGGGACTATGGAAAATTAGAGAAAACGAGTCAGATACTGTTGATGAAAGCAATTTTATAAATAGGAGCACAATATAAAGCACAGCCAAAAAAGATGCTAAGAGTTCAGGGTTAGACTTGGGATCCCAGACTTAAGGCTGAATATATTACAAGGTTAAGAGTTTGCAGGAAATGCTCATATCCTCCATTTGGGGATTTCCTCTGAAATACCATAACAACCATTCCTCCCAGTTCTGCAATTTAGTTCTGAGACATAACTCTTATTAGATAAGTAAAATGCATTAAGTCTTTACAGTACAATAGGTCAGTTTATCTTATCTACAGTTGCTGCCTGGCTGCCCAAGAAGCAATAACCTACTCTATATTAATGTATCAGATCATAAGAATGACCCTCTGTCCTTTAGAAAGAAGCTAAAGGCTGTCAAAAATGGACCAGTTATAAAAGGAACAAAAATAAACTCTCTGCTCTATGAATGAATCTCTCTTATGTAAGAATTTAAATTTTGATATCAGAAGAGTTAGTCACCATGTAGGAGTCTCCCAGAATGTTTGCGCAGAGAACAGAGTTCTTCCATGATTCACTATCCCAACTGCTCACGAGTGTCGAGCAGCTGGGCAAAATGGAAGGTCCCATTTTAGGCCTTATACTCTCTTTTAAAAACAAAACACTCAAAGAAGCCTAATGGATTTGGTCAATTAATTCACAGAATACTTTATGAACAGGTTCTAAAAAGGTTACATTTTATTTAGTCAGACAACGATTACCAGAAGGAAGAGGGAATAGCTGTAGACGTGTACTCAGCAGAATTATAAATCATTGTGTCCACGTTTTGGTACTGAAAATCTTATTCATGTTAAGCTTTTTTGCTTGCTTGCCG